GTAGATTGCAAGAAGTTCTCTTCCGAATGTAGAATATCTTGTTCCTTCTGGAGCGACTTTTTTGAGAAGAAAATAATTGGCATTCAGGCGTTTTTAATCATCTGTCCAAGGGTACTGCCTGCTGCTCTGTCCGAAAAATTCAACATCAAAGCAAGTGCTAAAGGGGTATTCGGATACATCAACGTAAGTGCTTGAAGCGGTTTATGTTTAAGCTGTTTAGTAGCTTCAATCTTTGAAGGGTTTATGCTTCGTCCCTCAGGCCGAGTGGCATGCGTACAAACTCAAACAATCTAAAAGGTGAAGTAATAGCTGTCTTAGAGATATCTTTTTCAGCTACTGGGATATTGTGAGATGCCCTAACCAAGTCAATTTTAGTAAATATTTTCATACCCTGTATAGTGTTTTTAAAATCTTGGATATGCGGTATTGGGTACCTGTCTGGTACAGTTATATGATTGAGGGACCTGTAATCCCTTCACAGTCATCAATCGTCTTCATTTTCTTTTGTACCATGTGCAAACGAGATGCCCACTGACTATCAGGGGGACGAATAATACTCAGCCATAGCAGGTAGTCCCATTCAGCTCCAGCGATTTTAGGCTTATCTGGTGCTAGTCTCTTGTGTCTAACAAAAACACGTAAATCCTAAGTTTTAGTAGTATGACTAACTATCGGTTTACTTTTGGAAGGCTATAAACATGTTATTTTAAATTATTTGATCCATTTCTTTAATATGCAAATTAACGACAAAACTGGACAGATGATACGGAATGGTTGAGGAAGACATTTGCGCCTGCTCATTAGTAGCCGTAGTTCCTATGCTGCAAACTGATTTGAGACTTTTTAACCCCAAAGTTCACTGCGTCGATTTACACTTAAGATTTAAAAGGTTGATGTCGGATCATATATATATATATATATATATATATATATATATATATATATATATATATATATATATAGAGAGAGAGAGAGAGAGAGAGAGAGACAATGCACTAACAGCTGCTCCAGCTGGACAAAATTTCCGACATGTTGTATTTCCTGACAGTTTCTGTGAAATTCGAGGTGACGAATGTGTCTGGTGATTTCCGGATGTCCTCAAGGCTTGTTTCGTTCACAAGTTTAGGCCTGAACTATCTATTATTATTATCTTGAATGGAACTATAAGCAAAATAGTTGTCAGTACCTGTAACAGCTTAGGTTGGTTGGTTAAGAGTTGACCACAAACAACCAAGCATATTTTAAAACAGTACTGTTCAAGTATTCATTCACTTCCTTGTTTTGTATAAGCGTTATATTCCCTATTATCTTATATTGAATGTTGAGAGCCTTTGTTTGTCTGAACAGATAATCCCACGCTCCACTGTCACCGCGCTAAGATCGAAATAAAGACCTATTCACTACTTGTCTGGTTTCTTCTATCAATAGCACGAGGGTTACTTTCAGGCACGTAATTGGTGACCCCTTTTTGAACACAAATTTAACCTCATTTCTGTTATTAACATTTCTTTTTTACTTAATCGTAAAAGTAGACCTGATTATCCGTAAACTAATTTGAGTATATAACTAGTTTATTCCGTATTATCTTAAGTTATTCGTGTTATAGTAACCACTTTTTGTGCTAACTTTATTGCTATATTTGTCGCATACCTCATGTCAGACTCAATAGAAACCCATAATCTGGAGGATTTGTCACCAGTGGAGATAGACACTGTTATGACTACGAAATCCCGACTTCCAGAATTTGATCGTAGTGATCCTGAGTTGTGGTTTGCTCAACTAGAGCATTATTTCACGAGACACAATATCAAATCTGAAGGGATTCGCTATAGAGACTTGTGTTCTATCCTTCCTCCTTCAGTCGCCAAAGAAGTCCGTGACTTGATTTTAGATCCACCATCACCACAACCATACACCATCTTAAGACAAGAGATAATGAACTGTTTATCATTATCAGATAGTCAAAGAATTCAAAGACTTTTTCAAGGTGAAACACTGGGTGATCGGTCGCCGTCACAGTTTTTACGTCACCTCCAAGTCTTAGTGGGTGATAACACAGTGGGTGAAGCAGTCCTAAAACAAGGATGGATAGGTACCCAATACCTTATATCCAAGATTTCACAAACGGTTTACAGGGTATGAACACATTCACTAAAATTGACTTAGTCAGGGCATATCACAATATCCCGGTGGCTGATGAAGATATTCCCAAGACAGCTATTACTACACCCTTTGGCTTATTCGAGTTTGTACGCATGCCATTCGGCCTGAGAAATGCGGCACAGACATTTCAAAGATTCATAGATAACCTACTTCGAGATATGCCATTTGCCCAGGGGTATATAGACGACTTGTTAATTTCCAGCCCCGATTTGCAATCACACGAACAGCATGTACAAGCAGTGTTGAAAAGACTGGATGAACATGGAATAAACATACATCAAAGTAAGTGTGTTTTCGGTGTTCAAACTTTAGAATTTCTCGGTCACACAATAAGCCCAGAAGGGATTAAACCTATCAAAAAAGAAGTGGATACCATCAAACAATACCCCGTACCTAGTTCTCTGACACAACTGAGAAGTTTTCTAGGCCTAATTAACTTTTATCGCAGATTCATATCAGGTTGTGCACAATTAATGCAACCTTTGACAGATTCACTTAAAGGAAAACCAAAAGAATTCAAACTGTCTTCTGACGCCGTCGAAGCTATTAAACAGCCTAAAGATAAACTGGCTCAAGCAACTACGTTGATATATCCGAATTCTCTTTCCCCACTTGCTTTGATGGTGGATGCTTCAGATAAAGCAGTAGGCGGTACCCTTAACCAACTGGTTAAAAACGCCTGAAAACCAATTGCTTTCTTCTCGAAAAGACTCACTCCAGCCGAAACAAGGTATTCTACCTTTGGGTGAGAACGTTTTGCAATCTACCTAACCATTACAAGCCACTAACGAATGCACTAAAAGCGAGAGCTGATAAATACTCACCTCGAGAAGTCCAACACCTTGACTATATTTCACAGTTCACAAGCGATATCCGACATGTCAAAGGTCAGGACAATCAGGCGGCAGATGTTTTATCTAGGCTAGAAATGAACGTGCTACAACAGTCCACAGTAAACTTCGAGACGTTGAGAAACGAACAAGAGCAGGATCTAGAATTACAAAACCTACTTAAAACAAACGATTCAAGTCTTAATTTAAAACAATCCCCATCACCTGTCGATGGTATTCTAATCTAATGTGACACGACCAAGGCAATTCCGTGACTTTTCGTTCCCAAAAGTATGCGAAAGTTGATATATAATAACTTTCATTCTTTGTCTCATCCTGGCGCAAAAGCTTCAACTAAACTAATCAATGCCAGATATATATAGCCGAATTTACAGAAGGATGTACACAAATGGGTTAGAGAGTGTTCAGCATGTCAACAATCAAAGATTAATCGTCACACAAATTCACCCATAGGTGTTTTCTCGCAACCAGATGCACGTTTTACCCATGTACATATCGACTTGGTAGGTCCTTTACCACGTTCAAACGGTTTTAATTATCTTTTACATGCATAGATCGATTTACCAGATTCCCTATAGCCATCCCGATAGCGGACATCACAGCGGAAACAGTAGCCAAAGTTTTCATGCAGAACTGGGTAACCATTTTTGGTACACCTATAACAATAACGACGGATAGAGGAGCGCAATTCGAATCCGAACTATTTAATAACTTGGCTAAACTTCTAGGCTCCAATAGGATACGCTGCACTGCATATCATCCTCAGGCTAATGGGATGGTAGAACGTTTTCACCGTCAGCTAAAAACCGCCCTTATATCTCACTCAAACCCCAATCAGTGGACAGAATTCCTGCCATTATTTATGTTGGGAATACGAACATCTGTCAAAACTGACGCACAGTGTTCAGCTGCGGAACTGGTTTTCGGAACAACTCTGAGACTACCAGGTGAATTTATTAACCCTAATACTAACAGTCAAAAACTTAATTTAGAAAATTATGTAGATCAACTACGGGACCACATGTCTAAACTTAAGCCGATTAATACTCGTGAACAATCGCGGGCCGTATATATACCTAAAGACCTAAGCAATTGCACGCACGTCTGGTTAAGATGTGACAAAATAAAAGCACCACTCAGTCCTCCATTTGAAGGTCCTTTCAAAGTCGTCTCAAGAAAATCTAAATATTTCGTGATAGAAAAACATGGAAACATCGACACAGTAAGTATTGATAGGCTAAAGCCGGCTTATCTAGATCATGAACCACCATACGTGTTGTTAGATCGTTTAATTAACAAATCCATTACGGAATCGAAATGTAAAGATAATAAATCTTTACAAATGACTAAAACGGTTCGCTGGGCACATCCAATTAGTCAGTCAAGGATGTTGACAGTTTCGGCTGCAGGATAAAATCTAACCACACAGCTAATCACACCCTGCATCTACTTAAAAATAATTTTTTTTCATCATTCCGCCTCACCGACAACTCCCCAGACCTTTTACCTTTGATATATACGTGTTATGTTAAATAATTTTTTTAAAATACTGGACACATAAGCTAGGTACTCCGAAACGATGGCTGAGGATTTCAATCAAACTCATACAACTAACACTGGCAAATACAACGAATTCAAAAAGCAACCCAGGCGAGTTTTATAATTTCTTTTTCTGGTTAATTAACTATGTTGGCTGTAATTCTTATATATTTATATACATTTTTCACGTAGACTGGCTATACATATATACCATATGAACTAATTCTAAAAGTTTTCGGCTCAGGATATGTTTAGTAGCTTGATACGATTAATATTACTATTAATAAGTAGTTTTCTAGACAAAACATTTTGGATTAAACCATGGTCAAGTACTTATTAAAGTTCTCATCATTTTTTTTTCATGTTTAGGAAACTTACGTAATGACTTAACCAGTTTCCCTGCAGCAGGCTTTTTAGTGTGATCATATAACCCATCTTTAAAAAAAGTTATGTTTGATAACCGATACGAATAATTTTTGGCAACATGGTAGTGAATTCATTTTCTTTCATATAAGCCCCAGCTTCTTCTGGTGACATTTCACTGAGTTTTTGTTCAAGATCAGCAGAGAAATGAATAATCGCTGCACCGGAATCATGTTCATCAACCCATTCCTTGATTTTTGGTAGCCATTTACTTTTCTTCTTTAAAAATGCCTTCTCTGACATATTAACCAAATAAATCACTGGTTTCGATGTGATAAATAAGTGCTCATTAAGAATCTCCACCTCAGTTGGAGTCCAATCACCGAAACGAACATTTCGTTTATCATTGACTAACATATTTTTAACTTTTGCAAGACACTCATAAGCAGGCATTTGTTTTTTATCATTGCCTCGAATAACTACTTTTTCACATTTCTCCCACTCTTTAGTAACATATTCAATATCTTTGAGACGTAATTCTTCATCAATGATATCTAAATCACGTACAGGATCAATATCACCTTCAATATGAGTGATGTCTTCATTTTCAAATAATCTTAACATATGGAAAATTGCATCAACACTGCGGATATGCGAAAGAAATGCATTTCCCAAACCTTGTCCTTCATGTGCACCTTTAACTAGACCAGCGATATCAACAACATTTAAGTAAGCTGGTACTCGACTAACAGGTTGGTGATATTCACAAAGCCAATCGAATCTTTCATCTGGAACTGCAACACGACTTTCATTGGGATTAATAGTGCAAAATGGAAAATTCTCGGCGGGGACTTGACTTTTAGTGAGAATATTGAAGAATGTAGATTTTCCAACGTTCGGTAGGCCAACTACACCACATTTCAGATTAGTACCGACTCTCCCAAGCAAAACAGCTTTTTTTGGCACATCGCCTTTCTTCTTAGACATTAGTATGAGGGTTAAATGAGCGCCAAAACCTTGATTCCACATACCTAATTTTAAACACAACTTATAAGGAAACTGTTTAGTAATCATAACATTGAACTGACAATATGAATATCACGACTATGCTAACGTTAAACCAATTATTATTAGTGGCCCATACAAAGTCCTGTAACTTAACATTAGCGTTATAAAAAAAACATTTTATGTCAATAACTGATATATATATATATATATATATATATATATTCATTGGTTTAAATATAACGCAAAATGGAAATTTACTAAACTTGTAGTTTTTTTCTATAGTAATAATATTCATGTAAACAAAGGACTTATACTTTTCCAATATGGCACTTTGATATATCAATCTGTCCTCTTGTCATTTTTTCTCTCATATGTGCGCGACTTACGGGCAACAAACATCGTATTGAAGGTGGGTGTGGTGAACAAAATCAGGCCCCACACGGACTCGAACCTCTGCCCTGCTGAATGCTAGACCGCGTGCTTAGCCGTTAAGCCACATCAGACCACGGAGGAAGTGACTTCAATATTTCCTTACACCAATTAATCACTCATAATACTAATGAGTAATAGGACTTACACACTTCTGAGGTGCAAACCAATTCGTTACTTGGATGAATTGACGATATATTGCTTCAATATATCATGCATACCTAAATCAAACAAGAAAAGGGTATTTGACACAACTGTACTTGATCCGCATACTCTACACATTTTTTTGCTTCTTAACCGTATATTCTTTTCCGTTTTGTGGAGTATTCTGATGCACCCTTGGTTACGCTGTAACACGTGTAATTAGCAGTCACTGGAAGACGGAAAGACCTAAAGCCACAACACACACAATGTTAACTGAACACTCTACACCACAGAGAGAACGAAAAATGGAGGACAATGGACGTTTATTTTTCAAATTAAATTTCGCGGGTTCTGTACAGAAAGAGAGCTTGTTTACCCGACGGTCTTATGAGTCATCCTGTAAGTTCAGTGCGTGTAGGGCTTGCTCTTCTTCTTCTAAAGCGTTTATTCTTGCTTCCCCTGCAATAGAAGGAAAACAAAATCTATTAACAACATCATACATGATGATTTTAATCCCGTTACAACGCACCTAGTTGTGAAACGCGGTCATCACAGGCTCAAGGTCACGCGCTTTATCGATTTTGTTAAAGAGTCCAACTTCTAGCAAGTTCACTCTTTTACATATATGCATTACAAAAGAGTATTTTTTTGTTTTCATGGTTTTTCCTGCACAAGATATCTACATTATGTCTATTCTCTTCCAGAATACCAATCCGTTCTGGAGACCAAGCACTTACATGGAACCGAACAATTATCAATTACATTTGTGTATTTCCATTTTGTATCTTATTATTTTATGCAGGCAGTGGAGCAGTTGTTCAGGTTTGCTTGATTTTCACCATTACCTTTGAAGTAGATTCTTCTTTACTTTTTACTTGAGGGCGACTCAAGAGCCAGGTGAGTAAACACCTGATAGCCGGTCTGAGCACGGAAAAATCGTACCTCACCAACATGGTGTTGGGTAGCCCGCTCGCGGCACTTCCTCAGATATTCTTATTCCACATTCTCACACTTTCTCTTGAAAGCACGCAGCAAACCGTCGGCGATAGTTGTAGAAGAAATCACATGCTACAAAATAAGATGACAAGCTAGTAAAGAAGAGACATCCATGGACTATCGTTGACAGCGTCAGTCGTCACTGATTGTAAGTCAAACAGTGAGCGAGTTGATAATTTTCCCTTGGGATGAGAAATAGAACTAAGGTTTTTTTCGATAGATAGGTTAATCGAACCGACGTTCCTACGGAAGTCGATTCTAGGGGGAAGCCAATGTAACAGCTTAGGTTGGTTGGTTAAGAGTTGACCACAAACAACCAAGCATATGCCAAAACAGTATTGTTCAAGTATTCATTCACTTCCTTGTTTTGTATAAGCGTTATATTCCCTATTATCTTATATTGAATGTTGAGAGCCTTTGTTTGTCTGAACAGATAATCCCACGCTCCACTGTTACCGCGCTGAGATCGAAATAAAGACCTATTCACTACTTGTCTGGTTTCTTCTATCAATAGCACGAGGGTTACTTTAAGGTACGAAATACCTATCAGTTCTACAGAACAGATCGCAGTAAGTCAAGATGAAAGTCAGCATGTTCTATAATATTTCTTTGTCCGCTGCTCCGAAGTGCAATTTTTCAAGAAAGCTGAATAGAATTGGCGACTAATTTTACAGTCCAGGATTTCTCTCACGAACCAAGAGATGATTTAAATAAATGTGGATGGAAATCCAAAACTTGTGGTGTCAACAGAGTTTAATATGTTTTTGAATATCTATGTATTTTTACAACTTAGTCAAAGATTTTTCTTCAAATTATCACCTACTATATACTTGTTCTATTAGGCTTCACAAATATTTGCTGATATAACGGTAATTATATACATGTCGCAAATGATTTTAGACTGTATTTCGTACACAATTTTAGTTTATACATCACATTAAGGAAGTCTGCGGACTCATCATTTTAGTTTTTTCCTCCGAAAAGTTCAATGTACTTATATGACTGAATTCGTTCTTCTTGCATTATATTCATTTGCTATAACATGCTGAGCCGACGTCCATTGGTTAGCAGTCTAGTTTCTATCTCGGAGATTGCAACTAACGGACTGATTGTCTCATGACTTTTAATCATCCATCTGGATGAAAATGTGTATTTCCCTACCAAATGATGCGGTAATGAATCACTACTGAGATATCCTAGGTAGTCAAAATCTTATTAGTAGGCGCGTGAGTATAACCTATTACGAATAATTTCTTCAAAAAATGTTAACTTTGGGTGGTAATTATGTCACCGATTCTCCGGCTAGGTTGTCGAATTTCGGTCAACGTTGGCATTAGTAAACATGATTTTGCCGCTAAAAAATAGACTTAACCCTAGAAATCTAGATTCGTCATGATATAACAACCTAAACTATGAGTTCACGCAGAAAACACATCATTGTTCATACTAATTCGTCTTGTTGTGACTATCCGTAATACGGAATTTAGTACTTCTGTGGAGCATGTTCAAGATGTGGAGAGAATAGTATATTTGGTACGAAAAGGAGTATGCTACAAATCGACTATAACCGCGTCGCCAAAAGATGATATTCCGATTCAGTGTTCCAGCATTCAAAGGTCCGACCTCTTCTAGAGTGTTAAGTGTCGATAGTAAATCTCCTCAGTTATTTTACGTCCAACTTCGAAGATTGTGTAGTTAGTAACCACGTCACATTCCTGATAAAATCAACGTGATAGTGATTCGTTAAAAAAGAAGATGAGATGGTTGTGCCACAGAGGTTATGAAAAGATAAATGGCAATCATTTGGATATTCGTAATCTGAAAGACAAATAAAGAATAAATAGAAAATGACCGGAATAAAGACGAGCTGATCCAAAAATGTGTGATTTAATTTCAAAATGATCAGAATGATTACCCATGTCAAGGTTCTTTGAGGGAAAACAAAGTTGGATTATGATAATGAAGAATGATTTAATATAGAGATATTTTAACAAGTCATACTAAACTGAATAGTAGTAACGGGAGTGGCGGTAGGCAAATCCTCAAAATAAATAGCTCTGTAAGTTTTCGACATTGGATGCTGACCACTTTAGTTTTAATGGACTCACCTAGCTGAAGGCGCTCGGTCATGCATCCGCACCAGATCACTAGTGCGAACGCCGTGCTCAACATCTACTGCAATCGCTAACCAGATTACATCAGACGATTCTCGATAAACTGATAGCCTATCAAATATATCTTCGAACCTCCTCGCTTCTATCTTTTGATTTCACTTGATGGGTGCGATTCATAGTGGAAGGTGTTACTGGTTTAAGCGTTGTCGAACTCCGAATACTGTGGCATCTTCACGGTGGCCTGCAGTGCTAGTACTTTGTGCTTAGAAATAGAAAAAAATCGGTATTTTATATATTGGTGTTAGTATTATCTTTGATTTAATCTAGAAAGCCAGTCACTCATTTCGCCCGTATCCTATCCGCATGTGTTGATTTTACGTTCAATCTGCACTTGCAGGCTAGCTGAAGGAACATAAGTGTAACCGCGAATAAAAAGAATTCCAATTAGTGTTCCATTTAGTTTGTTGAGTTGTAATAGGTTTTATATAGTTACGGATAGATTTTCTCAGCCTTGTTATTGCTTAGCCGTGATAGTATTCACTGATACTATCGATGCACATAAATGGTTAACAAAAGTACTTTTAAAGCGTAAAAATATTGATATTTGTCTGACTTTTTGTAAAACAGCTCATAACCATTTGTTGATTATGAGTGTATCTGTGAGAGGCATGTTCTGGACTCAATGTTCTGACATGCGATAGATCAACTAATTATATTCAGATTTACCGGTTATTATTGGATACATGTTAAGTGCAATACCAAATTTAGAATAGGGCTGGAATATATTTATTTGAAATGAAGTGATTATAAGTTGTTGGATTTGTTTAAACTTATAGTCAACAGATATGGGTAACATCATTTTGTACGTTTTCATCCAAATAAATCCAAATAGAAATATGTTGTTTTTTAGTCGGGAGCTAAGCGTCACGATTACTAGGATAAATCAAAGGAAAATGGAACGCTTACTTTGTACCTGAATATCATGAGCATATGACTATGAACTGTGCTTTTCTAATACACTAGGAAACTTTGAAAGTATTTCCAAACTAATCCCATGCTAAGAAAATTGTGATAGTTTTATCTAACGAGAAGTATAGATCGAAATACTGCCAAAAGAGTTTAACTCAGTATTACTATCGCTAAAATTAGCAGGAAATGATAAGAGTTATAACAGGAATAAACATACAAACTGAAGTACTGCGAGTCGTAGGTCGACAATTAAAAAGTTCAACATAGTGATGTTCTTTAGGTGAACGCCAGACAAAAAACATTGATACGTCATTTAGAGTTTTCAGTCTTCAGTAATAAGGATAGTAGGTTGGTGAACCTGTGTTAATCCTGACACGTTGCTTTCCAGTGAAGGTCCAGCTTCTCCTTGAAAATATTCACTGATGGGGCTGATACCTCTTGTTCGGGTAAGGCGTTCCAATCATTGACTACTCGATGGGAAAAACGAGACCCCACTTCAAGTTTATTAGATCGTGGTTTAAGAACCTTCTTGTTATGACCTCGGAGAATATTAGTGTTGGAGGGAGCAAAACGTTAAGACGTGTTACCACTCAAATCATAATTAAAGATACGAAATGCCAGTATAAGGTCACTTCGTGTCCTACGATACGACAAGGGGAAAAGTTTTAGGCGTTTTAAACGCTCACCGTAAGCGTATCTAGAAAGACCCTTCACTAATTCCGTTCCCACACGCTGGACATGCTCAAGGGAGTTAGTATCTTTTACCAGACACGGGCTAGCTGCTTGGATACAATACTTTAAGTGTGATCTGACATACATGGGATATAAAATTCGAAACGTTTGAGCGTTCAAAAGATTTGAACGCTCGGCGAAGTGACCATAACGCACGAAAACATTTGACAGCGGCTGCTTTGCGATGCGTAGTTGTTTTTAAATCATGACTTCTCACTACTCCTAAGTCTTTATAACAATAATGATAATATATATATTTCTACATGTGCAGGTACACGCCATTTTTACAGGCATGATCTATAAATTACAACACTTGTTGGTTCACAAAATGCTTCGCAATTTATTAATTTTATAGTTGTTATAAAGTATACTCGTAGGGCGCTTGCTGGGAACTGTTACCTTGGGGAGACACGTACGTCAAGTTTGTTCCAGACGTCAGAAGTTTCATGGCTGTGCCCTCAGAGCAAATTTCTGAAGAAGAAAAAAAAGAAACAGAAGAGCAGCAAGGCGCTTGGATATGAACGCCAAACGTTGCTTAACATTGTGTAGTAGAACGGACAGAGGTATAATAAATTAGGATAAATTCATATTATGTCTTGTTAGAGTGAAATGAAGTCAGAGGCTTCATATTAGAGAGTGTAGTAATAAAAAACAATGAGTTGTGTCGTTTAACGAGTTGTAGTAAGCTCACGTGAAGGAAAGTAAGTCAAGGCTGGTACAAGGGAAGAGGTTTATTAGAAGGGTGTGTATATAGTGGGTGAAGTGTTAAGAATGCGAATGACTATATATTTTGTTGTCTGACTTCTTTTCCTTTTTTGTTTATCCGATGCCAGCCACACAATCCTAGTGTAAAAGTCCGAGTTAGCATGTTATAAGTTGTCTTAATACGTTAGCTAATCCAGCATAAATTGGAAACGTGAGTCTGAGTGGTGAGCGTAGGAAAACAATCTATTTCACAGATTGATTGACTTATTCTCAATCATAAAGAGCCTGATACATACAAAATGTTCTGCCCCCACAAACACGGGTGGAATGCAGTTATTGCTCTCACCATCAATGCTTGCTGGTCAGTAACTCCACCCTCCCTCCTTTTGTGATGTTAGGCTCATTTAAGCTTATTTTTTGAATATGTAGCATACCCTACATAATACTCTGTGTTTCACAACCTGTTGGAAAACACCATTTCTATAAGTACCATTTTACAAGCTTATCAGGCAGTTACAAGCTATGGACTGTGGGTAAGGCATCGATACAGTGCTTTTGTTGACTATAGTATAAAGTTTAGTTTGCCAATCAGAGTATAAGCAATAAGAAGAGTATAATGTAGGATGGTTGTTTATTAAAGCAGGCGGAAAAGTATAGGAGTATATGAGTTGTATATAAGGTAACGAGTGGAGAAATAATATTAATTGCTAGTCAACATAGTGTGCAGAAGATTAAAAAGTTAATACAGGATAAACAGGTAGAAACTTACAGTAGCTTGGTGCTGATGTTATTTTTTGTTGTCCCAACCAGTTGATTGGTAACAGGCTCCATAGATGCAAGACCACTGGTAGTGGGCCATCGACTGTGCGGTCCTCTTGACTTTCTGAGAGTGGTAGTGAGTGTCCCTTAGCGACCGAGTTTAGTCGAACAGTATCGATAGGTTCAGTGAGTTACCTGTCTACTTCAAGCAAAAAATTAGGGTGGAAAGAGTAACTAGTACAACTGCAAAGTAGGAAAAATAAGACAAACTGATCTCGAGGTCCATTTTGGTCTAGACATGGAGAGAGCATATGATGTCTGAGTGGGGCGCAGATGTGTTCGTACGTGCAAGATAAGTGCGAGTGAGGGCTCGATCAAGCAGTTTTACAAACGTATGTAGTTCATTTGCCATGCGAGTTTTGGAGGGAGAACTGTTCCATATTATGGCGTACTTGGTGAGGTAGAGTTTTCCCGAGTTTTTGATCTGTATTTCTCAGCGTTGACCGTATGTACTTTGGTTCGAAGTTCGTATTCATGTGAATCTCTAGCAAGAACTATCTTATATGTTGAATAATTAAGGTTTTTGAGTAGTTAAAAGTAGAGAATCAAATTAGACCTAAACCTTCTCTTCCAAAGGGAGTTGAGCGAGAGAAAGGGACATGTTGAAGAGTGTCGCGAGCGGTTTGGAAATAATGTCTGCAAGAGATGACAGCAACCGTGGATGTTACCCGTCAGGGCCCGGTATCTTACCAGGTTTGATGTTAGTTATGAACGGAAGGACAGTTTCCTCAGTCATCTGTAAGAATTCAATGGTCGGTATCTCGGTGTGAGTGGGACAAGTATTTTTTACAATAAACGTAGAGTAGACTTCGCTAAAATAGTTTGAAAAAGTCTCAGCTTTTTGCTAATCCGATTCAGCTAGTAAATCTGAATTTTCGTGTAACAGTAACGGGGGAATACCATCACTACGTTTCATTCGCCGTTTAACATACGAAAACAATCATTTCGGACAAGTACGGCTATCATATACTAACTATCGTTCGTAAGTGGTACGAGATTTGACTACAGTTTCCTTACAGATATTACGGAACTTTTGGTACTCACGCTTAAATGGGGCATGACCTGTCAACAAGAATAAGTCTCAGAAATTTTTCCTACTCTTTAACAGCTTCCGGTTTTCCTTATTAATCCATGGAGAGCAATGTGCTAGCTTACGTGCTGACCATGGGATGAACGGCGACGTTAGGGACTCGAATGTAGCCTTAAAATTATTCCATTCATCTTCGATCAATCCATCCACGTCGACCGACCAATCAGTCGAGATAGCGCAGTTTCTGATTGCCGGAATATTGGCTCGCCAGATACTAGGACGGGGTGGGGCAGATACGAATTGTATATATAACTCCGTTAAGGCACACATGCAATTAAATTAAATCAGCCCACAATCTTCTATCGACCTGAGGTCACTCAAATATGAACCGCCCACTCTAAGGCTAGCAGCTTAAGTCGCTGAAATAAAAAAACGTTACATTCTGTGCTCGCAAATTTAATTTCTAGACGTATAGATACAGATACAATACATCACACTTCTCATGCAACCTTGTGTTGAAATAGAAGAGCTACTTAATTTTATTTAAGAGTACTGAAAATTTGACTTTTTCGTGAAAAAGTTCTAGTGGTGAGAGCCGTAGTTGGTGACGTTTTTACTCGGGACAAGTAATTAGCATGTTGCTGATTGTAGTTTCAGAAAAGAAATAGACTACTTTCGTAATGTAAATCAAAACTGCCTCTTGTATTTTAAATACAAATCCCGACAAGTAATGCTGACACTTTCTTCATTGAAAAATTTCCCTGTTAGAATATAGGCGTCTTAGAGGTGATTTATTAATGGCTTATAGTATTCTTAACACTTCTGGACATCCTCTTAAACATCTACTTAAGCTTAGTTCGAATAATAACCAAAGGGGTAACACCCAGAAACTGGAAACACAACATAGCAAGACGGAATGTAGACACAACTTCTACTCCTTAAAGGTCGTCAAAAGCTGGAACTCGCTGCCTTCCGAGCTAGTCCAAGCGACTTCTCAGGAGTCCTTCAAGAGGCAACTTGACCTATTCTTAAGGACCAAGGACAGCATCACATTATGATTTACCAATTTCTTTTCCTCTTTTACTGTTAGCATACCTAGGTTCCTGCCTGGAGGATTTGGTGATCCCCTGCTACTAGACACAGAAGCCTGTTAAGCGAAAGCTTCTTCTATTCCGTCCACAACCATTTGAACCATTTGAAGAACGTGCGGGACATATGGTTAGGTTGCTACGATTGGTATTGCTCCGTCATGTGAAGAGTTGCAGGTTGCTTTTTAGTGTGTCTGCCATAGTAATTCAAGTTAGGGCCTACGTTTTTCTTTATAAAGACAAATACAAGTTTCAATAACGACTGTAGCTTTTATCATGACCATAATAGTAGCTAAACAGTTGTGATTTGTTCTTCAAGCCGTCGTAATCCACCTTAGGTATTGCAATAGCAACATTGCTTCTGCTGGGTAATTGGACCCATAAAACTAGTTTTTAGTCACGCAGTCTACTTTCCCAGAATAGTTTTACTGAAGTTTTTTACTGATTGAGGTAATTACCGCAACTAGCAGTTGGCTGTATTAACCCAACTAACTGCATTGGAGTCCTTCCCACAAATATAAGACAATATGTCAAGCTAAGCTACAAATACATTTCTTGTTTCACGAACCTTTGTATTTACTCGGAGTATCAGTGATCTGCTGCTAACGAACATGGAAACATATTACGACTGCAAGTATTTGAATCAAATTGTTCGAAATCACCGAGTTATCATGTTTGCCAATCGGCTTCTTATTGTTACTTATTCTTTTTTATATATGTTTCCTGGGACCTCAAAAATTTTACTGAAGTTTGTAGATTTGGGGTATAGGTGACATATACGTGGATGAATGAACCCTTTTAATTACATCATGTCTGTACAAGATCCTGAATGGTTTTTTAAGTCTATTCTATCACCTTGATAATACCCTCACAAGATGACCGAAATGCAAGTGTACATGTTTTTGGTACAATCGTCTTCAGATACCTCATATCTGAGGTGATTTCGACGTCCTCTTTAACAAGACACTTAGAGTGAAAGTGATACAATGTGAATAGTCAGCTTAAAAGCCTCACGTTCATCCTATTTGTACCTTGTGCTACCCGTAGTCTCTAATGCGTGTATTCTAGGTTTCTAATTTAAAGATTAGTGACTTTCTTTTCAGCTACCGATTACAGACTTACTAATTATGCGTCTCAATCGTTAACCATAGTAATTTTTTAGTTAGATTGTAGTTTGCAGACCTCTTGATGGTGCTAAGAATAGTTAGTTACCAGTCCGATTACATTTGCGTCACTAACGTATCTAGAACTATGTATACAAGTTAGTTTACTTGAAGTATCCACTCTCATTTTAATCTTGAATGGTTCACTTTGCTGTTTTCGAGTGCATCAATTTTTGTGCTTGAATATTTTCCGAAGTAAATTGAGCGTTTGGTTTTCAGAATGACGGAAGCAAAGTAATTAGTCTCGAGTTTCACCAAAGTATCTAGGATTTCGGCTCACTATTAAGTTCAGATGTATGTACTGTGCCTCAGTCCACATCGTGGTGGGTAGATTTATTACCAGGCTTCCTTGACGAAAGTAGGTTAAGTCCGGGTTATAATCTAAGATCTAATTGTTAAAAGTCTAGTACGTTTTATACGTTTGTCACTAGTTCCTCTGCTTAGGCAATTAGATCCAGGTAACTATCATTTTATCGGTGCGGAAATTGCTAGAAAAAGCTTTCAGGTGTTTCCGGTAGTTTTGCAGGGCTGTTGGTCAAACAGGTCGGTCAAACGCCACATATATTTGATGATTCATGTATTTTTATCATTTTAGTATCCCCTGAATAATTGAACTAGGTCAACCACAATCCATAGATCCACTGTGATTGCCTTGACGTTGACGTTTTTCAAAGTTAACATCATTACGAAGTACCGTAGTAGAGGCATACTATCCAATGCTAGTTTCCTTTATTTTCTTATCGTCAAAAGTGATTTGTTTGTGATGTCATGGTTATTTTGTTGTTGTGAAGAATGTTGAGATGTTATAAAAGTCCTAAACTCTCGTAACAAAGTCTCACTTAACACCCAGAGTGGATGATTACTGGCTTTTATTGTCTGGTACATGGATTGAATATGATCTATATAAATAAGTCTCTATTGTCTTATGTAAAATAAGTCGTTATTTATCTAAACATTAATGCAATGGGGCTCCATAATATTTATATGCACCACACAAATAGCTGAATTTGTGTGTAGGCTAGGATACTCCTCGGGTGCCCGAATAAAAACGGGTGACTTCACAAGGGAGCATTTTCTCGAGTGTTTGATCCATAGCACTAACCCACAAGGCAATGGAGCGACTTTTAAAAATGCGGTACACTTGTTACCGGTTACTAAAAATGAGTTCATATCTCATTTTTCCCCCAGGGTCCGGTATCTCATGTGCACCATTGATTTGAACTCAGAATTTTCCAACTCCACCGTACTCACCAAATCGATTAGAGCGCCTGACATTGACTTTTCATAGACAGCGCTCCAGATGTGAGAAAGAAATCAGTAAGACTTTCCTGACTCTAGCATTAAAAACAGTTATATGAGAGCTTTCCGATGAGAGTGGGCTTGCCACACTCTCAGCCGTACCAGAAAATTTAGGGTCCGAATTGTATGTTTGGTAAATTATACTCTCGTTACCATTTATCATAGCGATTGTGTTAAAATTATTCTTCAAATGGTCATAAGTCAGTCAACTACAACGTAGGATTAGGCACATATATGCATCGGTTCAAGTTCCCATACTTCGTTACCACATCAAGATGAATGCCGGATTCATAGAAGTAGTTAATTCAATGGCGACAATATATAAAAGAAAGATTGAGTATAAGTATATAATACAGGAAGAAAAAATTAGTTCGTAGGAAGAAAGAAATAAAGCAATTCCAATCTCACGGTTTAAGTGCAGACAAAAAGTGTATACACCGACGCCACTATGATCGATTCTGAGCCATGTCACCCAGAGTCTTCAATCATTAGTTACAATAGTCGCGCGGACCCAAACCAAGTAGTCCGTATCTACCACCATGGCTCAGACAAGAAGTTGGTGACTTCAAGGACTGATGCCACGTTTTGGTTTGACAGCCTCTAATATTCTTCCAGCCGTCCACAATAATCAGCATTGTTCGTCGTGGTAATCGGTATTCAGGCATACGTAACACGTGGCCCAACCATCTCAGTCGATGAAGATTCACAACCCCACCAACTGATTTACTATCGTTCCCTAATACCCTGCGTCTAATCTCACCATTACTTACCCGTTGATCCCAGTAGATGCGAGCAATATTTCTAAGACATCTGTGGTCAAACATTAGTAGCTTACGAGTATCTTCTACTCTTAATGACCACGTTTCGCAGCCATAAAGTAGGACAGAACGAACTGCCACACAGTATACTCGTCCCTTAATTGATAGACGGATATATCGCCTTCGCCATAGGTGACGTCAGTTGGCAAAAGATAAACGAGTTGATATGTGGACCTCCTGAAGAGACATCGATTCTTGAAAATTCATACGACGAGAGCTTTGTTTTCAGCACTAAGTCTATGATGAAATTGAACAGAAATGGGGATAGTGGACAACCTTCCCGAACACCACTTGAGGTTGCGAAATCAGATGACCGTTCGCCATAAGCTCTCACTAGACTAGTAGTGTTCAAGTAAAGTGCCTTCACAAGGTTTATGTACTTCTGAGTTAGACTGCTGAATGACAGACACTGCCACAGAGTCAAATGATACTTTTAAATCAAGAAGAACTATCATTGTCTGGCGCCAATAAGAATGCCTGTGTTCTAGAAACTGGTAAATTTTGAATATGTGATTGATCGACACCACTTAAGGTTGTAAAATGGTCGTAAACATTAATAGAAGAGCTCACAGTTGCTTTACACATGATTCAATGTTTGTTACGTTTCATGTATGATTGTGTATCATTACATTGATATGCAAGGTTCTTATGTTTTAACAGTTGGGAGTCTTCAGTTGCTTAATTCCAAGTCTGTCGTTATGAACCAGGACTATCCATCGAACATTTATTTTGTTGTAAGCACTCAATACACTTTTCTGATTAATTTTAACAAATTTATTTGCAGCCATATATATATATATATTTACATTCTGCAACTTTCCAATTTTTATGCTAGATCTTTATATGTACAGTTTGAATTACCAAGTTATCTGTTACCCAAGAAAAATCCATTACCTTCTTCCTGTTTGGTGATCAACAGTATGGGAAATATATGTAATTTTCTCTGTCCTCAAAATGTTAACAGATGTTATTCAACCTCCGCATTAGATGCTTCAATTCATGATTCAGACGTAAAACTTTTATGTGAAAATGAAGCCGTACCTATATCAGTGGAAAACATTAATGACAGTGATGAACATGTAACAAGTGTTGTACATAAAGAATCAGTTTCAAAACACAAAGAGAAATCATATAACAGTACTCCTGGTCAGCTCAAGTCTATATCTTCTTCGCTGCAAGGTCCGAAAGTAATAAAAGAGTATGTAAAATTTCCTTTTCTTACGGACGACGAGATGGGAAATTGGATTATTAAGTCTCGGTTCATGTTTATATTACGCGGACCACCTGGTTCGGGGAAATCTTTTGTGTCGGAGTGCATCCGAATTCGTTTTCCCATGGCTAAGGTGGGTATGCTTTCATCGAAAGTGTATGTTTTTCTGATTGTTTTAAATGGATACAAGTTTTTGCTAGATTCTATGTTGCTTAATTGATTATGGTTCTTAGTTAGGTGGCTTTCTGTTCAGGTAGTGTCACCAAACCATTGAAACTGAATTCAAGTGTGTTAAAATCTCTTTATATGAAATTGTTACTCCTATTGGTTGGTAGTCGGGCAGTACTTCATTCTACTAGTCCCCAATTCAGAACACAGCTGAATAGAAACGAACTTATGCTGACTGACTGACTATGCTCTAAATTATAGAATTAGACGGGAGTAGAATTCACTGTAAAACAGGTTATTGCACTTGTAATTTTGCACGAGAGGATTTTAGAATCCTCTCCAATTATCCTCTAGTACTGATTAGCTAAGAAATAGCTAGTCAGCGTGCTCCAACACAATTCTGCATCGAACCTGCTGTAATCCAATCTATATTTTGTCAACAAACAACTTATCCCATTGTTTTTCAAACCACTCAGGATTCATTCCTACTTGCCAAAAAGTCATCTGCATCAATGTAATCGTAGTGGAAAATGGCCAAGATTCATGGTGTCTACAGCTGATATACGAATGGGATGTGGAGGAATTTTGTATCAGAGTACACCTTTTTGTAGGTTTAGTCGAGGCAGTCTGCTTTGTGATAATTGTGTCACCAGAACTGCTTAGTTTTGGATATCTCCTTGGTCCCCAGGATAATAAAAATGAGTGTTCAGATGAAAAAATTTCGAAAGAGCTATGGTATATTTATTGCAACTAATTAGCATTCAGGTCTGATAGTTGTGATCAATGAATTCGGAATTATTTACATGAAATTTCCCTTGTGTTTCTGTAAAACATGACAACGTACATTATTATTACTGTGTCTAATTACATGTATGTAAATTGATGCCCATCTTTATGTTTACATCTTTTTTACAGATCTTTTCTGCAGATGATTTCTTTTATTTAGAATCGAACGGCTATGAGTACCAATTTGACACCAGTCGATTGAGTGAAGCTCACGAGTGGTGTCATAATAATGCTTATAATGCTGCTTGTTCTGGATACAGCCCAATAGTTATTGACAACACAAACACAAGAAGTTGGGAAACACGTTATTACACAGATATGGCTCGTCGTTTTCACTACTTTGTAATCATGGTCATCCCACAAACACCATGGCGATTTGATGCGGAAACTTTAACTATGCGTAATGTACATTTTGTCAGTTTAGAGACCATTGAAGCTAAAGTCCGGAATTTCGAACATATCTATCCATTGTATTATGGTTGGTTTTGGTCGGCACCACCGAGTGAAACATATTCAAATCTTGACATCTCAGATACTTCACGAGACATGGTTAGTAGATCAGGTAAACGGTGTAAAAGCTCTATTCACTCAAACCCATGTATGGAATTGAATCGGTTGCTTAAATGGGGATGGGATGCTCTTAATACTATTATAGAATTACCCGGAGTACATCATGAATTAATAAATGCTTTCGGTCTGCCCCAAGGTTGGTTCCGTTTTTAGTGTCATTGTTAAAGTGTTTCATCATGATTTTAGTTAAAGGTACTCCTTTTTCTTAGACTTCATAATTCTTGTATGTGTTATATCTCCTACACATTTAACAAAGAATGCTTCACATGCCTTGCTTTATTTTACAAGCTTCATTCTTTTATTATTTATCTACCAGAAGATTCACATGTTGACTTATACTACTCAGACAGTATAGTTCTGTTTGGTGAAGATGCTGGAAAAATGCAGTTCTCCGGTCGTGTTAAGCAACAATAAAAATATGTTTAGGATAAGGTTCCAGACCTCCAAATCCAAATTATTTTTTCAGGATTATTCTACTTTATCGCCTGATATAATGACAGAGTGATGTAGTTGAGTGCATCGATTGCTTTCACTTATCTTAGCAGTTCCAATGGTTCTGATTTACTTTTTTCTGGAGAAATTTCAGCACGGATTCAGACGTTCGCCAACTTGTGTCACTTGTAGCGTAGGCGAAAAAATCCGTCTACTAACCAAACAACGGGTTTTCTGAACATTACTTTGCTCTTTTTATTTATGGGTGCAAAACAGTTATTAAGAATAGAGGATATTCATTGGTTGCTAGTATTCGATCACAGATGTATTCGTAGCATTTCTCATCACTTTTGTGACCACCGGGTTAGAAGTTCTGTGGTTGAACTCAGAGTAATAGGTAAGTATGACGTGTCAATTGACTGGAATAGTTAGGACATGTATTACATATGCCCATATAATGACTACCTCGAAATGCGATAATGGCTAATGTGAGAGTCGGTTGGAAGAAAGCTAGGGGAGGTTAAACTAGATATGGCACCGGTTCATGATGTCATCGGGTTTGCGTGACAATCGTAACCAATCGTTAGAGGCTTCGGGTGTTATGGCTCGAAATCGTCCGCTTTAGAACAGGTGCGTTTACTCTGTCTTCCGTTGGAACCTGGGTTGTGAAATATCTTAATTCTGTTTTTCCTTACCTAATCTTTTTCACTGCTACCACTAATGTATTTATTAATTCAACTACTCTAGAGTTTGTTTTGAAGAAATTATATCTTTTGCTAATAGTGTGTGATTACTTCGACCGAAGCACGTTTGTCTGCGTTCTACGTTGCAAACGATTGTCTTAGTGTTTTCATTTTACTAATTAACTGTATTCATTATTGGTCTCGATATTTATTAGGAGTTCATTGTTCACTTATTCATTTTCTAAACTACTTGGCATAATTACATCATTCCCTCCTATTTGTTTTGGGGTCGTTGTCGCTACCTTGACGTGGTGGTCGGGTTTGCCCATCGTGATGAACCAATCGAGCCACACTGGCTGGAATAATCGTTCTTCAAGGTCCTACTATGCCAGACAGGTCAGTTGAAGAACAGTAAAACTAAAAGCAGCGCAAACCCAAGATCTGAGGGTGAAGTCAAACTGCTGACTGTACAGAGATGTGACGGTAGTAAGGTGCTTCCTTCAGACAACCAGCGTGACAGCGATGCTGCCTTCCCACAAGGAGGGGTGGAGTTAGAAAAGTTCGACCCCAGAAATGCATACCTCGCCTTATCCTGCGGATATCCGTCTCTGGCGGTAATGTCTCAACAAGTACGGAGCTAACAAGAAAATTACTCACAAAAAGGCCATGTGTAACCGACCTCAAGTAGTTGTCCTTTGAGAACAGTGGTCATGTGCTCAGGTCACTGAGACCACCTCTAGTCCAATTCCCTTTCCAGGTACCTCCAGAAGAACCCTTCCGTGTTGTGGGCAACCGTGAAGTGATAACCGCCCTCACTTCTAACACCACTCAAGACCACTGTATTCATAATCAACCTCCCTCTTCACTTCCTATTATTCCTCCTATATGGACTTTCAACTCTAAACTAACTCTTCTGGCTTCCTCCTCAATTATCGTCATGGCTAACCATTCTAGTGTGCAAAACACTGTCCCAGGTCTACTGAAATTTCGCTCCAAACTACACATTGGAGCCTTTAACGGGCGCACCCAATGTCAAATCGGCCAGCAGAAGTCCTTGGCTGGGACTCTAAAATCTCGTAGCATTGATGTCCACTTTCCCCATTTTTGTTTAACTTCATCATAGACCTACTGATGGAAATAACGTTCTCGTCGACTGAATTCTCGGGTATTGAGCTCCTTCCGGGAGGTCCACTTATCGACTTTGAATACGCAGATGACATAGTCCTGTTTGGTGAAGACGCTGATAAATTGCAGTGTTTTGGTAGCACTGAGCAACAATGTCAGCAAGTTTGGAATGCGTTTCTCTCCGTCTAAGTGCAAGTTATTGCTTCAGGAGTGGTCTGCGTCAACACCTGAACTAAGGATAGGGAGTGAAGTAGTCGAACGCGTTGACGACTTCACTTATCTTGGAAGTCTGATCAGCCCTAATGGGTTGGTGTCTGACGAAATCTCAACACGAATTCAGAAAGTGCGTTTATCTTTTGCCAACTGACGTCACCTATGGCGAAGGCGATATATCCGTCTATCAATTAAGGGACGAGTATACTGTGTGGCAGTTCGTTCTGTCCTACTTTATGGCTGCGAAACGTGGTCATTAAGAGTAGAAGATACTCGTAAGCTACTAATGTTTGACCACAGATGTCTTAGAAATATTGCTCGCATCTACTGGGATCAACGGGTAAGTAATGGTGAGATTAGACGCAGGGTATTAGGGAACGATAGTAAATCAGTTGGTGGGGTTGTGAATCTTCATCGACTGAGATGGTTGGGCCACGTGTTACGTATGCCTGAATACCGATTACCACGACGAACAATGCTGATTATTGTGGACGGCTGGAAGAATATTAGAGGCTGTCAAACCAAAACGTGGCATCAGTCCTTGAAGTCACCAACTTCTTGTCTGAGCCATGGTGGTAGATACGGACTACTTGGTTTGGGTCCGCGCGACTATTGTAACTAATGATTGAAGACTCTGGGTGACATGGCTCAGAATCGATCATAGTGGCGTCGGTGTATACACTTTTTGTCTGCACTTAAACCGTGAGATTGGAATTGCTTTATTTCTTTCTTCCTACGAACTAATTTTTTCTTCCTGTATTATATACTTATACTCAATCTTTCTTTTATATATTGTCGCCATTGAATTAACTACTTCTATGAATCCGGCATTCATCTTGATGTGGTAACGAAGTATGGGAACTTGAACCGATGCATATATGTGCCTAATCCTGCGTTGTAACTGACTGACTTGGGGTCGTTTCTTATAGAGAAAAAATACTAAGGGTTAAATAAGTTTCCCATACAATTAGGCATTAGTTTTCGGTATTTTATTGTGAAGAGATTTTCGCCGGGGAATTTCACTCGTAAGAAATTTGTTTTGACGATGAATCGTCGTAATATTTTGCACGTTTAACTATACTCCAATATTGTTTATTGTGTTTTGGTACTATGCAATTTTTTATAGTTTTCATGTGATGATTTCGAACTTATGTTAACAGTAATCAGAGTATTTCAGAAGTTGAATAATTGCACATTTATTGTTTTCTTTATTAGATGCAACTGTACAAGATGTAATAACTCATTGGGAATCCGCTACAATACCTGACTTCGGGACTGGCTTGAAAACTTGCAACACACCTAGTATTCCTCATGTAACAGCTAAATTTTCCGGATGTGGTCGAGCCGTCGGTGCAGAACATTATGCTCTACGTAGATCTGTGAATGAAACTTTACTGGGAAAATTATTCACAGTACAAATTATCGGCTTGGTGATCACTCCACGTACAATAGGTGCTAGGGTTAAACTTCCAAATGATGAGGTCATTCGACATCTCTGGGCTGCCAACGATCAAGAAGTTGTATTCCCAGGTTTGTACATTAATCTCTCTTCTTTTTATCTTATTACATGAAATGTTTGAATAGTCTGTACATTGAAAACTTATAAATTTCTAACCACAGTAACGGCGTTGTGAATCTTCTACAATAATTTGAATACTGTCTTTTCATAGTGCTAAATTTAACAGGCGATGATAGAGCCACCCAGCTGACGGAAGTTTTCCCAGTCATATTTTTTACGAGGTTCTGAGTGTCCTTTTTTTGTTTCCGCAGCTTAAGTTCTCATGTGTTGAGCATTTAGTGTTTTCCTTTTTTTGTAGACTTTCACTATCAAAATGATGTTTATTTTTCTTGCAAACTTAAAACAGTAGAACAACATTCACAATACCCGCTGGAATTATTTGGCACCATGCTGATGACTTAAACTGAATTTTTCCAAAGAGCCATATAATATTGATGTTAATAGATTATTGGATTTTGAATACTTCGGAAACCTTCAGATATCTGGAACTTCAGATGCAATAGTCTTTACAGCATAGAAATCCTTTTTGATTATAACATTTACATGCATAGGTATATTTACCAATGTTTAACTTGACACTACAGCTAAAATAGCTATTGGATAGATTGTTGACAATTAAACTAATGATATATTTGTAATATCCCAATGAGTAGAAAATAAAATTCCTGAAGTTTCGTGACTTTGTTTAATCTATTTCTTGAGTCATGAATTTTACTTCTTACTCATTGGAATATTACAAATATATCATTATTTTCATTACTTCTATTTATGATTTTCATAAGGCTGGAGATTATTTTCTGGTTTAACTATCTGATGAGACGTCGGCTTTAAATTAACGTCTATGCTTGAATCTTTATAAGATCTAAGGATAATAACATTTTATCCGCTTCTTAGGTTTTCCAAAGCCTTTAACTCTTTGAAATCTTGGATTTCTCTTTTTCTTAGCTGAGAACTGTAAAATTAGTGGTCAATTGGGACTTATTTCTCCCTCACTGAATACTATGTACCTCTCATGGTTGTATGGTTAAAAGAATAACAACTGGAAATGATTGCGCAGGACAGGATAAGATGTAGAGTGCTTGTGAGCGGCCTATGCTCCTCTATGAGGAGTAACAGGCGTAAGTATGCTCATGGTTGTAACAAAAAGAATCATTTTGTTACAGAAACTCTCAAATTAGGGATCAGAACTTTTGGCATAAGGCGATAGGGAAGTTTAAAGTAAAAATTATTCCTTAAGAATAGAATTCTATCGGTGATAAATTTATGACGTACTTGTCTTCATAATGAGAACAAGTTCATGGCGGATGTTCCGCTTGATGTTAGAGAACTGTTAAATAAGGTAATCTCTAGTTTTGTGAAAGAATCTAGGTGACAATGGGGTTGATGAGGCAATTAGCTTTCACTACCTGTGTTGAATGAGACATATATTGCATATGCATAGCCACCGCCTATCTCAATGCGTCATGTTGGCCGATGTAGAAGCAGGTTGGAAGGAAGCTAGTAGAAGCCAGACCGATACTTGGGTTCAGTAATTGGCAGTTCAACCAATATTAATAAGTGCAAACTACCTGATTGTGACCCATTCGACTTCCATAACTGATTGTTTAAGATATTGTATGACATAGCTCAAAACCGGTCACAGTGGTATAGATGCCTTTACCGTATCTTTTCCGCTAAGTCGTTAGTTCCGAAACTATCTTTTTTATCCCACGAATTCATTCTCACCTCTCAAATTTTATTGTATATTCATATTTTTCCTTACTATCCTCCGATGCTGTCACTACTTCAACTCTGGTGCTTATATTGATAATTTCACCTCTCTGTGCTGATATATGACAAACTGAACCAATTCACATATATTCTCAGGTTTTAATTTCAATTTACCTGGCTGACTTGTAAAAGTATGCATTATAAATGCCTTTATCAAAAACATTTTCGGTGCGTTGACACCCGTCGTATCCAGAATCCAAGCGTCTTATGGATAACTTGACGATCCATGAATCTAATTACCCATCAAGTTCTATATCATCGGCAAGTAGATCATGTACACACAACTTGGCAAAGCGATTGATGAAATAGCTAAATTCAATACGCAGAGAATTGATATATGTTTTTAATTTGATTACCATTACAAATATATTCACTCTAGACTTATAACTGGTTATGTTGAGTTCTGTAAAGTCGCACCAATCTGGGCTAGACTAACCAATTATTAATTTATATTTGATAACCGCAGGTGTACTTAGCACAACCCTAATACTATCTAACTTAGTCAGTTGTAGATTTTTAATTTTATCCCCTAAGTTCTGTACTCCAACGTATGAGTAATTTTGATTATTTTAATCTGTATATTTTTCTACTGTTATGTTACTGTTAAAATTTCTTCATTTTTATACTTCTCTTCCGATAGATAATATTGGTATAATGCCTGTGAATCGTCCAACTGGTTGTCGTGCTCACGTTACAATGGCTTTAGCAACTGGTGTATCCCCAGCAGAAACAGGTCTTGATGTACTACGTGTTGTAGACATGGAGTTGAACAATCGGCCAGGCGATCATGTAGCAATTATTAAAAATGGTTCTGTTCGTCGACTTATCATTCCAAAATTACATTGTAATACTTCACCTGAACGCTGTTTAGTAAAGGTACCAAATAAATTAAACTATCATCCACGTAATAATAATAACTTTTACGTTAATGGTATCTCATCCGTTCCGCTCTCAGATTGTGAGACTATTTATGTGTACGATCTTGATTTTCCTCATCACTACCGTGTTACTTTTGCTGCTTCTTATTGAGTTATCCTTTCATAAGTTTCCATTAAGTCATCATTAATTGCCAATATCTTCTTGCCTATCTGTCTTACTTTGAATCGGTTCAATTACCTGTATACATATATATACGCATAATACCATAAATTATTTCAGTCTCCATTACTTCATTTTTTAGATTTGTTCATTTCATCGGATTTGCATGTTTTCTCTTTGTTAATTTGTACATGGATAAATCAAAATTTGTAGCAAACATTTTGTCTAGTCTTGTATCTGTACCGGATTATAATAATTGCTGTAATTTATTCATGCTATTGTAACTATGGCCGTTTCTAATCTGCTAGTATTATTTAGTAGTTGGTTATGTACTTATCGTCTTATAACCAGCCGAAATCGTTATCCGAATGATTAATTTCTTGTAACTTTATTTTTTCACACTGCATTACTTGTGAAATTCTATACAATCACAAATGAAAACTGGTATATATATACAATATTAGGGTTCATTGTTTAATGGTGAATTTACTATCGCGAGTTTCTTTTCTTTTCTACCATGACATATGCTATCTAAGCCTATAAGATACAATACCCGATGTAAAAATTATATATTCCCTCTATTTGTGTTAATTTTCTTGTAGTAATTCATTTTTGCATTGACTACTAAGTAACAGCGTCCTAATTCACCGAAGAAATTGCTTGAAAGGATATGGAAAATTATCTTAGTTAACAATATGATCCAAATTGTCATGAATAGAACTTGAATTCTTCTATATATTGCTTCGTTATGGTTACTTATTCATATTTAAATGCTATCTATATAAACGACCAGCATAACTTTCCGAAATTGTCGGGTAATATTTAGAACGAAACCATCGTTGTACTGTTTTGAGGCTGCAATACTAGTTTTCTTGCGAATTCGAAAAAAGAATGTTTCTAGTGAACTAAACGAATTTCCGTATTGTTCATAGCGACTGACACATGGAAATAGCCACTAGTGACTGGGTTCGAGAATTCTAATAGGAATTTGTGACAAATAGAATAAACCAGATCGAGATTGAAGCAGTAATTCAATGATTACGGTGACTAATGATCGCCCTTATCTCAGGTAGACTTAATCCCTAAACTTAACGGTCTAAATGCTCTTGTGAGACCCTAAGGTCTTTGGCGTCAATCTCGTGCGCTCAAATGTACTAGCGGGATGTAGATCGGATTAAAGAACGTTTCGTGCAGGATTATGTTAGGGCACACTGATTGGTTATCCATTCAATCAGCGCTAGAAGATGCTTTGAAAATACTAGAATCTTATCATGTAAAAACTATAAGCATACTAGCGTTTTTACCGTGATTCCTACTCCCATCCAATCATGTTCTGATTTGGGGACTTGTCGAGTGAAGTGATGTCCAACAATACTGAGCCATAAAAGTAGCTGGGTTGTAGTAAGGAAAATTATAAGTCGTGCAAACACTCATTCTCCGTAGTGTTCGATGATTCTTCAGCTAATGCCAATTCACGATGAAAACCATGACAGAATAAAAACGCGATCTTCTTAAATATTGGTAAGGTAATGATTTTGGCACAAGAATTAATCGTGTTAATTATTTTGAGATAGTAGGAGTGTCTACATTATTTCCTGTGAGAATTAAATAATTAACTACTATCTCGGACAACATAGTCCTTTGACAAACATCCATCGCACTGTTAACATGCACACCCTTCTATTCTCATAAAATACTGCCTTCCACAAATAAATATGGATTGTTAGGTGCAGCCTTTTATCGACTTCATATGGAAAGGTTTACGCCAATAGGGGCGCATACTAATAAAGTTGATCAGTAAAAAAGCGAATAACATTTGAGTGCGAAATATGTCCACCTTACCCTTTGTTCCTTTGACTTATGACTAATCAGAAACGTACTCCAGTTTCTACGATTATTTTCGTATGGAAACAATCTTAGAAAATGGAGTGCTATTAAGAAAGCGTCAACCCTTTGATGGTTATTTGTACGGAACCATCTCCCATGAGTCTTACCAGTAGAAACATTCTTCACTTATATCGGGGACATTTTTCCAGGACTATATAATTTAAAACTAATTTAAGTCAAACTGATCCTCTTCGTAATATTCATTTCAGACTGCCAATAAATATAAAACCATGCTAAATGTTAATCTACTGGGATACGACATTATCGTACAACCTTCACATTCGTCTAGAGACCTTTAAGTTGGGTAACTAAACGTCACTATGGGTCTCGAATTCCTCAGAATAAATGGCAATTCCTAATTATTTCATAAAATGATGTAAATTTGATGTATAATCAGAATATGGCTTTATCTTATAACAGTGTACACAAGCGAAAAAATATTCGTCAATAAAGATAACTATATTGTAAGCAAGTAACATATATACATTCCGGTAAATAAAATAATGTACAAAAGAAACTAATTAATTTACCTGGAAAAGAAAATGATATGAAATAAAATAAAGTGAATCGCATTTACTGAGTTTTCTTACCTAAATAGGTAAATGAAACAAACTTTTTTAAAAGAAGAAATAGGAAGCAATTTCGATGGAACAAATTTAATCAATCTCTGACAAAAAAAGTACTTTCGACGGCACCATACAATGAATTTCATTATCACAAACACGAACATCACTAGATTTAACTCTTTTATTACCAGACTTTAAGATATTCTGTTCATTAAATGAAGATAACTGGTTGCAGTGGCTCGGTGAAGACGATGTGCAAACAACCGATGAAGGTGACGACGACGATGTTGACTCTAATCCATCTGAACTGTTGACTGTGTTTATCCCACAAACAGCTTCTAACTGTTTTATTCTGAAAATTAGCATCAACAAATAATAAGAGTGAAAACAAAAATAAAAAATCTCGTTTGAAATAAACGAAACTGCTTCAGTGTCTATAATGTATTTCAGTTACCTTTAAGTGACATAAAGACGGTACGGAAAAAAAATATGGTGCCTTACATGAATGATACATGTGTAGAGACTAACATAACTAGTTTTGAATTTGTAAGATCCATCAATAGAAAGTCAATTATTTGAGTTACATAACTGCTAGGACTTGAGAGTACCTCCAGTCTCTGGCAAGATTCAACCCTATAGCAAATCATTCAGCATCACACATAATTGCTGAAAACATTACTTTGAGAAAATCAATCACTATTTAGACATTTGGAATATTTGTTATGTATGGATTGCCTTGATAGCCGAATATAAACAAATCCTACTCGTTATAATTCACCTCTCCTAAAAGCTAATCCAGGGAGAGAATGTAAAATTTTCTAGCATATATTTGTTAGATTCAAAAAGCCCCCAAGTGCCCTGGTACGGCTGAGAGTGGGGAGATTCAGCTCTCTTAAAATGCTCTCACATGACCACGTACACACAACTACTGCCACGGATGTTACGTGTGCCGAACAACCACCTACCCTAACGATCGGTGTTATGTGGTGTAGGAGTAGTTTTATTTATTTATTTAAATACATAAACATTGGTACAAGGAGGCACCAAATACATATGCTCCACATAAACACAGGCACATCCATTGTTTATCGTTCTGCGAATTCTGAGCTCCCGAGTTCTCCATGACTTTTATTTTGTTGTTGTTTCACTGATTCATGTTTTCTTGAGTCGTACTTCTGATGCCTAATCTTCTCAATCACCACTGATACTGTTACTATATCTACTACTATGGAATTCGGTCTGATATTTTCATCTTTCTCTGTTGACGTGATATGGCGACTTAAATCGATGTACATACGTACCAGGTTCTACGTTGTGACCGACTGAATGAATATAGAATACAGTTCATTTGTGACTTTTAATAAACTAAAGAAGCCATTCTAATCCTCACGTACAACTTGCCTTACTTCTGCATGTTGGCGAATAGTCACAAATTTATCCAAATTTTTAGGTTGAGATAAGGAGAATGTTTTTAAAGTTACAATCTAAACAACAGTAACTGACTATAATCCGGGCAATTATGATATACATCTCTGGTGTCATAATCAACGGAATTTTCATTTTGAATTAGAACAGTAGAAAAACACGACTTTGTATGGAAGAGAATTTGAAACCAACCAATAATCATAATAAATGAAATTAGGAGAAAAATAATGAGTGATAACACTGCAATAACATACCTACGACTTTGCATTTTTAATAGTGAACCCAACTGTTTGTTCTGCTCAGTCACCTCTCGTTGTTTACAAAGTAAATGATACACCAAACGACTCAATTTACAGATGCGGGTCATGTTTAAGTTTTGACCCTGTTTAAGTCGCTTTATGTCAGAAGTTAACTTTTGATTGACCGTTAATTCTCTAGAAATAGTTCCTGATTCCTTGTGGGTGATATTTTCCTAGATAACAGCAACAAAAATGTTAGCTACCCTGAATATTGTGATAAAAAACAACAACGCAAAGATCACATGTCACATGAAAAAAGAACAACTATTCCTCACAATATACACAGTAGAGCATTCATGCTTAGATGGTTGTGATGATTGTGATTATATAATAATCATAACGATAATATTAATCGTATTACGTTTTGCCTGAATATTTGATCTTCACATTACATGCACTAGAGGACAGAATATGCGCAAAAATTGTTTCTGAAAAAATGACAACTTTAGGATTATTTATTCTAAAATTATTGTGACCGAACACTAAATATATTGTCAGCAGAGACGGACGGCGAGTGGCAGTGGGGTCCAGGACGCGCGTTTAATCCTATTTGGAACCAAATATATTGGTCAAAATGGATAATCATCTGGAGGAAACAAGCAGGTTACGAACAGTATTAGCATGAAAAATGATAATGTTTTACGGATGACACTTGAGTCTATAAGGGATGTGATAAGAGAAGCCGAACCAAGAAATAGGATTAGTCCATTGGGTAACATTTATTGATAGACTACTTAGTAGGTTCCGAGTGACAATCACGATCAGGGTTTGGAGATATTGGATGACACTGATTAGATTCGGTCTTAGCGATGCACACCCACACACTTCTTGTATTTTAGATCCTAAACCTCAACAATGATTGAGACACATTTCCTTATAAAACAACAACTTGATGTTTATTTA